ACACACACACACACACACACACACACACACACACACACACACACACTGTTTTGATAACATCAGACCATGTTCTGTCATTAAAATGTAAATATAAATTTTATATATTTCACATTTAACATATACATCGTGGTATCAAACGAACGAATCGTGATTTAAATAATCGAGAATAATTAGTGATAACGTGCCCACATTTAAACATCGAGATACAAAAGTTTGATATTGTACATGATTAGAGCATCAAAATCATTTAGTCCTATATTTCTAAAGAGCCATGTCTAAGAGAAAGTGACTAGTATTCAATGATAAAAGCTATGTATCATTTGTTATACTTTGCGATGTACTTCTCTGAGAAAACTTGACACGAAATTCAGGAATTTTGAGACATTATATCCAGAACTACATTACATAGCATCTTTTTAGTAAGCTTCGTGAAATAATTGAAAAGTGGGACACATACATATACACACAGTTGATCTTAATACATATTAATAAAGTACGATGCGCTATTTGTACATATAGATTCAAAAATAAATTGTCCAATCTTATTGACATTTGATATTGTTTTTTATATGTATATATTTGGGTATGTGTATGTATATACATGTGCGTGTGTGTATATACATATATACGCGTGCCCACACACATGTGCTAATGCAATGTCTTTATTCATGGGGAATTCACTTCAAATAATACTTGTAAATATTAGGATCGATGTAAAGGATAAAAATAAACGAAAATTTATGTGAAATAAAAGCATTTGAGCAAAATACAAAAAAATCTGTCATTTATTGATTCAAAAAACTACTTATAAAAATTATTTATATTATAGTCTTCTCACCTCGAGAAAGAAAAAAACCTTTCTTGATATCTGTGATCGTCCCATTTGTATCCATATTTTAGATTTCGTGTTTCATGTCATAAAGAAATTCAATATAGCTAGACATTGTCCTGCCCCATTTAACCTTGTGCTGACTGACACAGTTTGTTAATAAGTAGTTTCATATTTTCTCTGATCAATTTGTGGATTTGATTTATTACTGTGGATCTTAAGAGAATTTTAGATCGTTCTTACATATCTTCACTTCCCCAATAACTATTGTAATCACTTTCGCTTGTAGAACCATTTTGTCCTGATCCAGTCCTACGAGAACCTGAAGCTGCATAAAATTAATTTATATAGTGACCAAGTGTTTCTTGTTTATATTAAAAAGAGTAGGATATATGTAAATATACCCTGTGGCACATGTCTTATAATAAATGCTATGGATTTTGGAGTTTTCAAAAAAAATATCGTGTACTTACGCCGAATATAACTCCCTTCGACAGTTATTCTCATAGGACACGTTTGGATATGTTCCTGAATCTCGTCTTTACTCAAACGATGAGTTGCATTGTACGGGCAGATAACCTTGTAATCGGGTGGAAAATTCTACAAGAAAATTTCGCGTTTATTTATGAATTTCTTAGAACGTGATTATGGTCTCTTGAAATTGTCACCTTTTCGCATTTCACGAGGTGTCGTTGAAATCTCGAACTAGGTATCCGATGTAACTTGTTGTACGGACAGAAGAGAACCTCATTATCACTATTGCTATACATTGTTGTACAGATACAATAATCGGTAGTGTGATAAAGAATATAATGAGTGGTCTAAATTCCTTGGTCTATCGTTAAAATTCTATGAGTTAAACGTTCCGATATAGATTTCCACTCTTCTTGGCCGGCGGCACGGAAACGTCTGTTCTTTTTCGAAGAACGAAGAACTTCATGAACCGGTGCACATTGGCATAATAAGTTAGAGTGAAACAAAATATATACTTGTCTCACTCTAACTTATTGCACTAGTGTGCACCAGTTCAGGAAATTTATCGTAAAAGAACAAATATATAATAATTGGAGCACAATGGGTGCGTTCAGCCGATACTCCGCTAGCCTAGCAATCGTGAGCAGTCGCTCGTTTTCGCTCGTTTCCTCTCCTTTGACCCAATGGATTAAAAGGAGAGGAAACGAGCGAAAACGAGCGACTGCTCACGATTGCTAG